GACTCTCCAACAGTCACCACATTGACCACGTGCAAGAAGGGTAAGTAATCTTAGCAGTGGGCCTTGCATTTGAGCAGCTCTGAAAAACACCCGAGCTCGGGACAGGATGTTAGCAAAGACAACCAGTTTCAACTGGAAAGACACAGAGCTGTTATTTTTCAGTAAGGCAAGTTTATTGACTCCCACAGGAGATAAACAAACATGGCCACCAGGGAGAGCCTGGGACAAAATGTACTTGACCTGCAACAGATAAACCAAAAGCCTAGAGTTAGAGAACAAGCTAAATTTTCTGCCCCTCTCAGTACAAGTCATCAGACAGTCTCTCCCAGAGGAACAAAAGCAAACGCCAAAGATGTACCAGATGCTGAAGGATATAACCTGTTTGGTCAGCTGGGCGAGGCAGAGTAGAGCAGCCAAGCAATCTCAAAATCTAAACACAGAACTGCCATCATTCTATTACCTGGGGTGGTTGCTGTTTAGTGGCTAAGCCATGTCTGACTCTTTGCGACCCCGTGGACTGCCAGGCCCCTTTGTCCATAGGACTTCCCAGGCAAGCATACTGCAGTGGGTTGCCATTTCCTTCTCCAGGGAATCTTCCCAACCCAGGGATCCAAGCTTCATCTCCTACATTGGCAGGCGGATATTGGCAGGCGGATACTCTACTGCGGAGCCCATGGCAGGGTGTGGGGCTTGTCATTTAATTGCTCATGCCTTCTTTTCCCTACCTGTGATGCTGAGAGGCATCAGCATAGTGAATATGACATTTTAATTACTGAATGCATAGAGACTCTAAATCCATGAACCAAAAAAGATTAGTTTGATAACTAAGCTACACAAAATTCAGAATATTAGTCACTGAGGAGTCAGCTCCTATGATCACCTCCTCAGAGACTTTTCCTAAACCCATCATCAAAACTAACCACATTCTCCACATTTGCTTTTTTTGGCCTCCCAGAAGTTATTACTACCTGTAATAGTCTTATTTATTTATGGGTTTGTTCACAATCTCTCTCAGTCATGAGAACAGCAATCTTTGCCTACTTTATTGCCTCATCTTGCCTGGTTCAATAACTACTTGGTGAATGTATTAATTCTGAGGTTAAATGTCATTTGAAAAAGAACAGTTTGAAGACACTATCCGATTTCAAGACTTGATATAAAGCTACAATGATCAAGATCATGTGGTATTGGCATAAAGACAAATAGATCAATAGAACAGAAGAGAGTCCAGAAATAGACCCATGTATAAAAGGACAACTCATCTTCAAAAAAGGTGCAAGTTCAGTAAAGATGGGCAGTCTTTTCAACAAGTGGTGCTAGAACAACTGAACACCCATATGCAAAGAAGAGCATACCACATACAAAAGTTAACTCAAAGTGGATCACAAACCTAAAACTTTAAAACTTGGAGAAAACATTTGAGACTTAGATTAAAGCAAAGATTTCTTAGGAATAACACCAAAAGCATGATCCACTTTTTTTAACTGATAAATTCAACTTCATCAAAATTAAACCTTCTGTTTAAGACACTGTTTAAAAAAATGAAAAGACAAGCTACAGACTAAAAGAAAATGCTTGCAGTTCTGATCAAAGACCTGTATCCAGAATAAAAAAAGCTCTCAAATTTCAATATGAAAAGAAACAAGTAAAATTTTTTATACATAAATTTTAAAAGGGAAAATATTTCATCAATAGATGTGCCACCAAAGAAGAGATACACATGAGAAAATGATCCACATTATTAGTCACCAGGGAAAATACAAATTAAAATTACAATAAATATCAAATCAGTATGCTATACACCTGAAACTAATATGTCACATGTCAATTATACCTCCACTAAAATATTAAATAATAAGTAATAAGTAATATAAAGTAATAATAAGTAATAATAAATAATAAGGAAATTAAATTAAAAAGTGCTGATACAGGAAAAAACTACAACGACACACCTTTACACGACTGAAATTTAAAAACTGACCACACCAAGTGTTGGCCAAGATGTGGAGAAACTGTAATTCTTAATACACTGCCAGCGGGAACATTTTGAAAAAGTTTGGTAGTTTCTGAAAAAATTAAATATACATCTGCTCAAACAGGGGCTCTGTATCAACCTAGAGGGGTGGGATGGGAAGCGAGATGGGAGGAAGGTTCAAGAGGGAGGGGACATATGTACACCTATGGCTGATTCATGTTGAGGTTTGACAGAAAACAACAAAATCTGTAAAGCAATTATCCTTCAATTAAAAATAAATAATTTTTAAAGTAAAAAAACTGTAAATCAACTATACTCCAATAAATTTTTTTAAATTATATCTCCTAAATACACACACACACACACACATCTGCTACGTGATCCAGCCATACCACTGATAAGGATTTACCAAAGAGGAATGAAAGTATCCATCCATATAAACACATGAACACAGACATTCAGAGCAGTTTTATTTGTGAAGCCAAACTCTGAAACAACACAAATGTCCAACAGCAACTGGATGGAAAAATGAATGGTGGTACAGCCATACAGTGGAATATCACTGATCAATGATAAAAAGGAACTATTTGCCATACACAACAACATAGATGAACCTCAATATAATTTTGCTGAGCATAAGAAGCCACACACAAAAGTCCACTTGTATAAATCCTAGGAAATGCAAACTAATGTATAGTGACAGAAAGCAGAAGAGTGTTTGCCTCGCAACAAGGAAGGGATTATAAAGGGTTCCAGGAGCCATCACAGAGGTGATGGATATATTCATTATCTTGATTGTGTTGCTCATTTCTTGAGTGCATACATGTGTGGAAACTTATCAAATTGTACACTTAAATATATACAATTTGTTGCATGTCACTTATACCTCAATAAAACTGGTTTAAAAATAATAAAAGACCTATGATCTGAAAACTAATAATAAATAATCCCCAATTAGGTGCACTGTTGTTGTTGTTATTGTTTAGTTAATAAATCATCTCTGACTCTTTTGCAACCCCATGGGCTGCAGACAGCCAGGCTCCTCTGTCCATAGGATTTCACAGGCAAGACTACTGGAGAGGGTTGCCATTTTCTTCTCCAAGGAATCTTTCCCACCCAGGTATCCAACCTGAGTCTCCTGCATTGGCAGGTAAATTCTTAACTACTGACCCACCTGGGAAGTCGTGCATTACAATCATAATCTGACTTTTTAGGGGGCACATATTTCTCTTCCCCATAACAAGTATGGGAGGGCTGGAGGAGGAGAGGAGGAATTACTTCATTTCAAACTGTCATCTTTACCTGCTTTGGCTCTTCTCACACTTCCTGGCTTCTAAATTAACAAGTTGGACAATGTAGGGTCTATTACTACCCAACCCCTACCCCACCCCCAGTCCCCAGACTTTTTGTCTCCTAAAAGAAGCAGATCCTTACTTGTCTGGAAAAGCAGACACAAGGAACAAAAGGCTCAATGACTATTTGACAGATTAAAGAATAGACAACTGTTTTATTTAAATACTCCCTAAAGAATTAGAACATTTGAGGCTATACACTGTTCTGCTGAAATGCAATTATATATTATCCAGATCTGTAAGCACTTGCCAGAAGACCTGTCCAAATCACTCACTGCTTAAGTTTTCAGTTTTCTCCTTTCTCTCTCTTTTCATCCCATGAATGAATAATGTGCAGGTGTATTTCTGAGAAGACAGTCCTAATGTTTTGAAAAGCCTCTCAATCAATAACCCCAACAGTTTGAAAGAGTTTTCCAAATGTCTAAGACAATGACCATAACAGGACACTGTTATGATCCAAAAAATGGGTCTTAAGTGTGAATCCTATACAGAATGACAATACAAAATAGCAGGATCGTTATCTGAAAACAATCGATCATACTAATATTTAACAACAAAATTAAGGCTTACAAATGATTGGCAATAGTTATAAAATAATAGCAGACTAGTAATTAACAGTGGGGTTCTGTCTCCACCACTAACTGTTTGAGTGACCTTAGGCAAGAGTCGGACACGACTAAGCGACTAACACTAGAACTAGCACTACTAGGCAAGTAAATTCATCTACTCTCTTTAGAGCGGGATAACAGTACCTACCTGATAGGGTTATAATAAGGATTAAATGTGTTTGGCATACGGTAAGAGCTAAATAAATGCTAGCAATTAGTAGTATGGTTACTCTGAACTTTCCAAGGATCTCATTAACTCACTCATCTTCCTTCTGACTCTTAGGTTCAAACCCTATCATTTACCAGTATGTTTCTTCTAAACCTCAGTTTCCACATCCGTAAAACGGGGGTGATTAATGTTACCTGACTTTTAAGGTTGTGGTGAAGGATTAAAATAACTAGAGATACAGATCCCTTCCCTCCCACCTCCCAAAGCGAAGATCGCAGAGGAAGGAAATACTTCTAATAGCTGCAGATACAGTCAGTTTTTCCATTTCTGGCACGTGAGGGGTTGGGGGGGTGGGGGGGAAGAAGATGCAAAGAGGCATACAAAGTGGTCAAGGACCCTGAGTAAAGCCCCCAAATGCGCGCAAGACGCAGAGTGACCCAGAGAGGCTCGACTATCGGTCTGGCCTCGCGCAACTCTCTCCTCTCCCCTCCCGCGTCCCGGGCCAAGGAGCCTCCCCTAAGTGAGCGGGGTTATTTCGGAATCACCATGAGGCAATTCTCATGAGGCAATGGGTCAGGAATGCGGCGCGCCGAGCCGGGCCGCTAGCGTCCGCGGTTCCCCGGGCGCCTCTACCTGCCCCCGTCCTGACGGGCATCCCCAGGGCTGCGGGAGCCGGAACTCCGCGGAGGCAGGAAATGAATGAGGACCCGAGGGGTTGGGGGCGCGCTAGGGCCGAGCCCCGGGGCCCTGGAGGGCTTAGGGGGCTGGAATGGAGCCTGCCCCGCGACCCCGGGCGGGAGTCCGAAGCCCAACCGGGCCGCCCCCTCCCGGGCGGAGCTGACTGAAAGCGGCGGGGGCCGGGCCGAGGCCCGGGCCAGGCCCTCGGGGCTCCTCACCTCCGCGATGTCATGTTCCTCCCGCCCTCCGGCTCCGCGACGAACCGGCTCCTTACTCAGGCTCCGCTGGGCCCGGTCACATCGGGCTGGCCCGAGGGAGGCCCGCTCCGGACCGGACGGGGGGGCAGAGCCAGCCGGCCGCGCGCAGACCCCCCTCAAGGCCTGAGGAGCCCGGAGACTGTGCAGCCGCCCCCCAAGCCCGGTTCGCTCCTCCTCCTCCTCCCCCGCCCTTCGCCGCCGGCTCCTCCGTGACGTCACTCCCACGCGACGCCCGCCACTACTTCCTGCTTCCATTCTGCGCTGAGGCTGGTCATGGCAGTTCAGTGGCTCAGTGGAAGCTCCGCCGCGCTGTTCCCAAAGGACCTTCTCATGCTCCTTTAGATCTTGGCGTTAGACCGTGCATTGTGCGCTCAAAGTAAATTGATCCTATCTCCTCCCACAGCGTCAATTTCCATCCCTGCGCTGTGAAGTCGAATTTCATTCATTTCATTCCTCAAATAGTTGTTCCGCATGCTGCTGTGTAACCTTAGGAAAGAGGTTGGGGTCGCCAAGAGTCGGATACGTCTGAGCGACTGGACTGAACTGAAACTTAGGAAAGTTGCTTGATTTCTCTGAGCCTCAGGTCCCTCCATTCCTTGATTTCTGTAAAAAGAGAATAGTAATTGTATTTTCTTCTTAGGATTATGAGGACGATTAAATATGTAAAATATTTAGAACTAGGCCTGATCTGTTTAATAAGTTCTCAGTTGGTAAAGAATCCGCCTGCAGTGCAGGAGACCCTGGTTCGATTCCTGGGTCGGGAAGATCCCCTGGAGAAGGGAAAGGCTACCCACCCCAGTATTCTGGCCTGGAGAATGCCAAGGACTGTATAGTCCATGGGGTCGCAAAGAGTCGGACACAACTGAGCGACTTTTACTGACTCTCTCCTGTAGTTGTTGTGGCTTCCCTGGTGGCTCAGATGGTAAGGAATCTGCCTGCAATTCAGGAGATCCCAGTTCAATTCCTAGGTTGGGAATATCCCTTGGAGAAGGGAATAGCTACCCAACCCAGTATTCTTGCCAGTAGAGTTCCATAGACAGAGAAGCCTGTCAGGCTATGGTCCATGGAGTCAAAAAGAGTTGGACACAACTGAGCAACTAACACTTTCACTTTTTCACTTTTTTGTGTGTGATGATTAGCTCTATTATCATTAGAAGGAAACGCGAGCATTTTCTGTCTGCTAGGCACTGATTTTCCACTACAGAGATAAAAAAGTGAAGCAAAAAGACAAAAATCCCCAATTTTCTCATGGGAGGAGCTACAGTAATCAAGATAAATAAAACACTTGAGATAATACTCATCTCCCTTCTTTCCTCCATTGCCGTTTATATTACTTTAAATGGAGTATTTAGGGAAAGCTTCACTAAGGATGATATCTGAGTCAAGGAACAGTCTAGTAGTGAAGTTGCTCAGTTGTGTCTGACTCTTTGAGACCCCCATGGACTTTATCCTACCAGGCTCCTCCATCCATGGGATTTTCCAGGCAAGAGTACTGGAGTGGGTTGCCATTTCCTTCTCCAGGGGATCTTCCCGACCAAGGGATTGAACCCAGGTCTCCCACATTACAGGCAGATGCTTTACCATCTGAGCCACCAGGGAAGCCCCGAGCAGTCAATGGAAATAATTTAGAAAAAGAGCATTTCAAGCACAGGAGGAGGCCAGTGCAAAGACTCAGAGGCTAGAGGCCGACTTCTGTATTTGAAGAAAAAGGAAGAGCATTGCGGGCAAATTCTTCACCAGTCTGAACCACCAGAGAAGCTGGAGCACAGTAGGAGGTGGGGGATGTGGGGGAGATATGGGAGATGTAGGGGGAGTAGTAGGAAATGAGATGAGGAAGGGGTAGAGCTGGTACTAGGGTCCAAGAGCCTATTGAAATAAATAGTAGGGACTTCCCTGGCAGTCCAGTGATTAACTCTCTGTGCTTCCAATGCAAGGGGCTTGGGTTCCATCCCTGGTTGAAGAACTAAGATCCCATAGGCCAAAAAAAAAATATATATATATTTTTTAATCCAGTAAAAAAAAACACTAGAAAAAGATAAACGAACAGTAAAATGGAGAGTCATTAAAAGATTTTAAGCAGAGAATAATATAATCTATGCTTTAAAAGTATTACTTTGGGTACTTTGAGTAGTTAAATCAAGAGGGCAAGGCTGAAAACAGAGACCAGTTCAGAATACTGTAACACTGGAGATGATGGAGATGAGGTAGCTCAGACCAGAGTGAGAAGGTAGAGCTTTTATCTGAGAAAAATCTGCCCCTGTGACTCATGAAGGTCCACAGATCTAGTAAATGGCAGAACCAAAATTCAAACCCACAACTACAGAGCTCCAAAATCCTCATTTTTTTCCCCTTCCAGTGTTCCCCACATCATTCCTATACAAAGAACTCTCATACAGTATGCTAACTGCTTCAGCACTGATGCTACCCAAAAGTTCTTACAAAATTTATCTTTAATTTATGCCAATTTAAGTCATAGACTTTGAGCAAGCATTTGTCCAGCCTGTTTCTTTTCATTCCCCTGAATCTGGCCACCCAGATGACAAAAAACATCCTATCTGATCTTAAGCCTGAAGGCTTGTTCTCTCCAACCATTCACCACATAATAGCCACGGTAATTTAAACTGCAAAACTAGTCACTCCTTCAGTTGAACACTCCAATGTCTTCTCACTGCTTTTAAGATACAGTCAAAAAAATTTTTTTGGACTTTTCTAGTGGTCCAGTAGTTAAGACTCCATTCTTCCAATGAAGGGGGCACGGTTCAATTCCTGGTTGGGAAACTAAGATCTCTCATGATGCAGCGTGGCCCCCAAAAATGAAAACATATATAAAATGAACAGCATGCAGCTTGAGTTTTTAAAAGCATTTGACAACCACCTGCTCCCTGCTTATCTTACCAGCCCCCTTTCTCCCCACCACCCTATGAGCCAGCCCTGCTGAATGACGTCCAGTTCCCCTCAGTAGCTATGTTCTCTTCCAGCTCAGGGCCTTTAACAATCTTCTCCCTCTCCTTGGGGGATTCTGACCCTCCCCATGAACTCTAGTCTATGACTCTGATTTCAGGCTAGAAGTCATCTCCTCTGGAATAGAAAGAATCACCTCATTCTCCCAACCCACTTTAGATGGTCCCCAAGACACCTGGTGGCTCAGATGGTAAAGAATCTGCCTGTAATGCAGGAGAACCAGGTTCTATCCCTAAGTTGGGAAGATCCCCTGGAGAAGGGAATGGCAAACCACTCTAGTATTCTTGCCTGGAGAATCCCAAGGACAGAATAGCCTGGTAGGCTACAGTCCATGGGGTCACAAAGCATCAGACAGGGCTAACTGATTAATACTAAGACACCTATTGTAGCTTAGAACTGAACACACTCCATTATAAATCTAAGACACAATATCATATGAGGATTAAGTTGTTAATCTCCAAAGTTTAGCCTGCCTGGGTGTCCTCAGGCAAGCCACCTGGGTCCTCTGTGTCTCAGTTTACTTCTCTGTAAAATGGAGAGATCAAATACTACCTACCATTAGTTCAGTTCAGTCACTCAGTCATGTCTGACTCTGTGACCCCATGATCTGCAGCACGCCAGACCTCCCTGTCCATCACCAACTTCTGGAATTTACTCAAACTCATGTCCATTGAGTCGGTGATGCCATCCAACAATCTCATCCTCTGTCAACCCTTTCTCCTCCTGCCTTCAATCTTTCCCACCATCAGGGTCTTTTCCAATGAGTCAACTCTTTGCATCAGGTGGCCAAAGTATTGGAGTTTCAGCTTCAACATCAGTCCTTCCAATGAATATTCAGGACTGATTTCCTTTAGGATAGACGCGTTGGATCTCCTTGCTGTCCAAGGGACTCTCAAGAGTCTTCTCCAACACCACAGTTCAAAAGCATCAATTCTTTGGCACTCAACTTTCTTTATAGTCTAACTCTCACATCCATACATGACTACTGGAAAAACCATAGCTTTGACTAGATGGACCTTTATTGGCAAAGTAATGTCTCTGCTTTTTTAATATGCTGTCAAGTTTGATCATAACTTTTCTTCCAAGGAGGAAGCGTCTTTTAATTTCACGGCTGCAGTCACCATCTGCAGTGATTTTGGAGCCCCCCAAAATAAAGTCTGTCACTGTTTCCACTGTTTCCCCATCTATTTTCCATGAAGTGATGGAACCAGATGCCATGATCTTAGTTTCTGAATGTTGAGTTTTAAACTAAATTTTTCACTCTCCTCTTTCACTTTCATCAAGAGGCTCTTTAGTTCTTCACTTTCTGTCATAAGGGTGGTATCATCTGCATATCTGAGGTTATTGATATTTCTCCTGGCACTCTTGATTCCAGATTCTGCTTCATCCAGTCCAGCACCTACTATAGATTAGGTTATAAAAAATAAAAGAGTTAATGTTTGTGAAGTACTTAGAACAGTGCCTGGCAAAGTCAGCATGTAATAAATGCTGGTTATCACTAGTCTCTTTTCCAAAGTAAACTGTAAGCTTTTTTTTTTTTTTGGAATCACTACATGGCTTGCAGGATCTTAATTCCCTGACCAGAGATTGAACACAGGCCACAGCAATGAATGTGCCAAGTCACCATTGGACCGCCAGGGAATTCCCAAACTGTAAGCTGTTTAAATGAAGAAGCCATTGCTACCCCAGTTTCTTCTATGTTCTGTACACTCAATAGCTAGAATGATCTTTCTACAATACAAATCTAGTCATGCCCTTTCTATGAAAGAAGTTCAAAGCCTTTACTACAAATGAAAATTCTTCCATTAGTGCATCAGGCCCTTCTAAACATGAACTATGCCTACCTGTTCAGTTTCATTTACATCAACTTCTTCACATAACCTGGTAGTTTCCAAAGGCCTGTGGCTGTTTCTTGTATCCTTGTCTTTCAAAATTTAATCCTTCTTTATAATATATCCTTTAGGGGACTTCCCTGGTGGTCCAGTGGCTAAGATTCCACACTCCCAATGCAAGG